GTATCAAAAAGGAAGAAAACAAATTCAATTAGATATTAATGATGGCATTTTGAATTAACAGGTCAAAGCCCATGCAAGTGTTGCTGCCCATATGCTGTTTGATCTTGAGGATGTGAAGAGGACCTCTTCAACTGAACCAACACTTCTTCTCATAGACATTGCTGGGTATGTTGTATTTTGTAAATATAATGTAGCCTATGCAAACATATTGTCAGTTCCTCATGTTTGATGAAATATAGATGTGACATGGAAGAAAAGAAAGATGAAGAAGATAGCACAATGAATGAAGGTGAAGCTGAAGTTGCCATGGTCCACGCAAAGAGACTTGTGCAAAGTGGTGTGCTGCCTTCTGATATTGGAATTATTACCCCGTATGCTGCGCAGGTATAAACTGTTCTGTGTGAACCTCTGATAAATGTTTTGGCAGTTTCATCTAGAAGGGTGAAGGCTAACCGGCGGCATTGCAGGTTGTTTTACTCAAGATGTTGAAAAACAAGGAGAACTCGCTGAAGGATCTTGAAATCTCAACAGTTGATGGCTTCCAGGGAAGGGAGAAGGAAGCCGTTATTATATCAATGGTTCGATCTAATTCAAAAAAAGAGGTACTTTGGCTATCTCTGTTGGACTACTTTTACTTTCTATTTGTATCATATTAAATCTTGACAATTTTAATCTGCTTGGCGATTAGATTAATTTCTTTGAATATATTTTCCAGGTTGGCTTTCTAAGTGATCGTCGCCGAATGAATGTGGCTGTGACGCGGGCGAGAAGGCAATGCTGCCTTGTCTGTGACACAGAAACTGTCAGTTCTGATGGATTCCTAAAGCGATTGATTGAGTATTTTGAAGAGAATGGCGAGTATCAGAGCGCATCTGAGTATCAGAATGAATAGGCCTAACCCCCATGATTATTGAGATTGCTCTTGACGCTTTATTCCAAGATCAATCTGTTGCATTGGGAGATGTTGCTAGTAGGTCTACCATGTTTTCTGGTATCCTCCTTATGCTTGTATTTGGAATGTTACGAAGTTGATAGTTTATATGAAACCATTTTCTTCGTTGTCATTCTGTGTTGACTGCTTCAAAAACCACGGGGGAGTAGACCTTTCAGATTCAAGTCTCATCCATAGTCATTAGATTCATGTTTTGTCAAGAACTTCACAAGAGGTGAAAGTAATAGTTAAAGCGTGATTTTTCTGATTTCACTTCCACAAAAATGTCTAATGTTTTAGATAATCAATTGAATAAAATGAAAATTGCTATACTAATGATAACATAAATAGAAGGTAACAAGATTGCAATAAGAGATAAAAAAAAAAAAAAAAACTCTACTCTCTCGGGTTCAAAACATAAACAATTTTTAAGAAAAATGTGGATATTAAGAAAAATTTTATTCCTATCAAAATACATAGTTTTTTTTACTCCTAATTTTAATTATCAATATATTTTACGATAAGTAAGAAATATATTTACACAATAAATTAATTTAAATGTAAAAGATAAAATGAGAATTTTTTTTTTACTTGTATTAGGTTATTTATGTTTTTAACCAAAATTAATTGAAAAAAATGCTTGTATTTTGTATCAGAATATTATTTACGTACAATTGCATTAAGGTCAACAGTCGGCTTGAATCTAACTCTAGTAACAGAGTTAATGATAATTAATTGCCTGTAAAAGCAAAAGAAGAACATGACAAATCACAATAGTGCGTTACCTAGTAAGTGGAGTACAGGGAGCACTAACTAATTACTCTGTTGTCGAAATTTTGAGAAGTGCTAGGACTAGGAGTGCTTCACATCCAAAATATAAACAATTTTTAAAAATAACATGTATATAAATAAAATTTTTATTGTCATAAAAATATATGTGATTTTTCTTTTTTATTTTTAGTTTCAATTTATAATGGAAAAAAAATGACATAAATTCATAGACACAAAAATCCAAGTTAATAACTACAAAGAGTAAAATAGAAAAAGATTACAAATATTAATTGTTTATATTTTAAATCAAGATAAATTAGGAGAAAATGCTTATATTTTGAATAGAAAGAATATTATTTTTTTAAAAAAATAAATTAAATAAGAATTGTCTGTTAGTAAAATTAAAGAATCTATTCTTTCATTATTTATTTTGATTTCATAAACATTAGAAAGATAGATCTAACAAATAAATAAACATATTTAATTATTTCAAAAGTATAAATTGTTCGGTTTTAAATTTATTTAAAAATTATTTTAACCATTCAATTATTTTGCATTGGTTATATTAATTTTAATTATCGGATTATTTTTTTTAAATGGTCAAATCAAACCACAGAACTGATTTTGGCCAAAAATAATTACACAGCTGGTTTTTTTTCCCCAGTTGCAAATAACGAAACTCTTTAGTATTCCAGATCCAAAAAAAAAAAATCTTTAGTATCAAAACTTGTTTTGCCCGAGCAATTTCGTCCGCTAGCCAGGTACGGAACACCATTTGTGGGATGTAATTAGGATTTTTGTCCAATTTCCCATATATTTAGACGATAATTTGCGGTTGACATTGAAGAAACGGTAATTGAAACCACCAATTAGCTCAACAAGTCAAGTCAAGCACCCAACTCGATTAAGGAAAAAGATTAACAAAACAACAAACATCTCCCAAGAAGTTGATGGAGTCTAGAAAAGTTAGAATGTATATCAACTGGTATTCTGTGCAGAGCTTCGGTATATTCACAACAAAAGATTATTTATCATAATTATACATATTTGTTTAATTCAAAAGATTTGAATCCTGTGATCTCTGATCAAAACCCTGTAAATTGACGATGAAGGCTCTACCTGAGAAAGAGAATATTGAACTGAAAATCGAGAGAGCGAATCCGGATTGAGGATAGGCTCCGGCATTTGAGAGGGCGGTTTGTCGGAGAAAGGTTTGAATAGTCTCAATAAAGAGGTTGATTCGGATCGGCGGCAAATACAAGGTTGAATGGCGCGGAGGAGAAGGCCGCCGCTAAAGTTGCAGCATTTTTTTGTCACCGACGACAGAGGAGCATGAAAAAGCTACGGTGAGAAATGACAAAAGAGGTTTGGCCAAACGAAAAATGAAATGACAAGAAAAGGAAGAGCAAGGTTGGGTAACTTTGGTCATAGGTGTGACGTTTCTTATTGATTATTGAAATCCACGCTAGTTAACATAGAGTTGGCAATTTGAGCCAACCTAACCCGCTCAAAAAATGTTAGTCAAGTTTAATTATATAAATTTTTTTAAAGAATATAATATTTAAACTCAATTTGAATATGTTAGCTCAAGTTAAGTTCAATTCAAATAAGTTAGAATATTGAAATTTTTAACTATATATATGTATATAGTTAATAATTTTGACCAAGCTCAATGAATCAGTCCGAACTTGGCCAAAAAAAATTAAAGCCAGCCTTAACTACGTAAAATTTTTATGAGGATAAAATATTTTAAGTTCAATCTAAATTAAACTCACTCAAATTACTAGCTCTTGGTTTTTACCATTCACAAGAGTATGTAATAACAATAGACAAAGAACTACTTTTGAAAAAATTAACAGTTGAAGGCTTATATTGATAAAAATAATAATTGATGATGATCAAGAATTGCAAAAAGACCGCGAAAATAAGCTTGTATTTACTTCTTTTTTCCAACAAAAGTGATCCCTCATTATAATACTATTACAGAAAAAAAGGCTCTTATAATTGGGCCCAATGTTATGGGCAGGTCTAGAGAAAAAAAATATACAGTTAATTAATTTTATTAACTTTAACAAATTATATTAATCTATGCGAGGGTATTTATGAGTACCTTATAGTTGAGAGAATACATTAGTTTTATTTTCCTTCCAGAATCACTGGAAAATATTCAAATGATATTTTTTATTAATGAATAATAGATTGTTTTCTATTATATGAAAATTAATTAAAAAAAAGCCTCGTTAGTGATTGTTTGTGAATAATACAAGTTATTATAGAATCTATCATGTGTATGAATATAATGTAATATTGATAACGATGACACCTTTCACTTTCGTTTGCCCCCCCAAAAAAAAAAAATCACCTTTCACTTTTGGAGGTGTAATTTTTCCTGGCGGCCAGATAATCTTTTGCTGCCATTGTTAAACAAATCCATGGAATAGTCATTTCCAAAACTAGCACAGAACCCAACATGGTGACGCTGTACCAGAGATTAGATTTAATATTTTCAAAGGAGAACAAGATTCCCATGCTTCTTCCAGATGTCAGCGGGGAAATAAACAAATTATAGTTCATAGATTACGAAAAGATTCATCAACTGCTTAAATTGGCTGAGCACTAAAGGTCGTGAAGATAAGGTTTTTAAAATCTTAACCGTGCGTACGCATAGACGAATAATTCTGGTTAGAGATAGGGAACTCAGTATATAAAGTCCAAAGTGAGGTGATGCGACAGAGACGGATTGTTCCTTTGGAATAGTCCGAATCGACGGAAATTTACCAAAACTTTATTGATTTTGGATTCCAGGCCGAGCCGTTAATCAAACAAACAAAACAGATACGAGGACAAAACCCACTTGTAATTGTCAAAAAGGTGGCCACGGATAGCGAGATCTCGAATATAATTTTAAGGAACCACAACACATTTTGCTTCAAACCTGGCACCGAAAGCTACAAGATGAGATGCTTAGGGATGAAGTCCCTCTTTTCTTGTCCACCTTCTATTTATGTTTCTTTTCACTAAAATTCTGACTTATCACTTGAAAATTTAGTCGGATGGCTCCAAGTCGAGAGGAACAACGTATTGGCCCTGAATACAAAAAGTCAAGAACAACGTCGTCATCTAAATTGACGAGTCGTGCTCATTATTTTGCATTTGCATGCGTATCCGTTGAAACGGATTTAACTTAAATTGTATGTCCCGACACATCCAGAGTCTACCAAGTTTTATTCACAATGCATTTTCCTTATCTCCCATTACTACAGCAACAAAATCCTTGGGCATTTTCAGGCCAAAACAATTCTTGTATCAAAATATTAATAATATTGGTAATCTCTCCCAAAAATATCAGGGACTAATGAGAGAATGTGACACAGGAATTCGGATGAAAAGAGAGAAGGGGGTTACGAGAATATAGCAATAAACTGTATTGAAAGTTACATGACCCAGAGGATCAGCCTTCCAATAGTTTTCCTAATCTACCAGCTCCATGGCATCCACAATTCTGGATTCCATGCAACGAGAGTAATATCAGATGCATCGTCCTGTACTTTCATCCCCAAAACTGGGCCAATTTGGAGTCCCCAAGAACTTAACCCTAATGACCCTTGGTAATTCCTGTTTCCTACCACAAAAATATGAAGGAATAAATTTCTTAAAAAATGGACCCAACTTGGACGTTAGGCTCCATTAGAAATGACTGGAATATGAACCTAAGGATTCAAACGCTTGTATGGAAATTGCCCAGCGCTCAAATTTGAGTGCTCAAATTCGATCCCTCGCTAGAGTATACAGCCGCTGCAACACTTGAGACAGCCATTCCCAGTTTCTCCTTGTCTCAGTTGGAGTTTCTTTCACAAGCGACTGGACCCATGACAGATCAGGCTCCTCGCCGTTGCTCCCAAATTCAAACGACGACGATCTGCGGAGCTTGCCCAAATCATCAGCATTGACAGCCCAATCCAGTTTACCATTGGCGGATCCCCATTCTGACCAAGAACTGTCGTTAAAACCGGCAGCAACAGCGGTGGCGGAGTTGGAGCCAAGATCCCGAGAGCTGAGGCTACGAAACTGGTGCTGCTTTTCGCGTTGAGCTAGCACAGAAAGCCTGGAGCTCATTGGTGAAATAGGTTCCACATTACGTGGAGACATCCTTCCTGACGTCTGGAACGAGGCCTGTAACAAAGGATGTTCAACATTCTTCGAAGAAAAGTTTGTATTCACAGGTGAAAGCAAGCTTTGCTGCTGCTGAAATTGATTGAGGACGGCTGATTTGTGTGTGGGCGAAAAGACAGCTGAACTCAACGTCGGATCAGCAAACCGAGGGGAAGAACTCTCAGCAGAAAAGAGATCATCAAGGTTTGAAGGGGTCAAGGTCTTAATGCGACCAGAGCGGTTTAGGTTATTAGAATTCATAGATTGCTGGGAAAGGCAAGACATCTCGCTAAGTAGCTGGTGCTGCTGAACATCATAGTCAGGCAACAGATCAAAGTCGTCCACAGGGATATCTCTGGCACTGAATGAAGATCTCAATCGACTAGAGTGAATATTACTTCCTGGCAGATGCAGGTTAGGAACATTAGGTTGTGGCCAAGCCACAGAGGAGTGTGACATGCCGGTGGCAGACGGTGACATGGGTGGAGTGAACGGTGATGGAGACATCACAGACATTGAAGAAGGGGAACCAGGTAACAGGCTCATGGCTGCAGCAAAATCCATGGCAGAAGATGTGCTTGAGCGTGGTGATGGAACAGCAGAACCAGTTGAAACATATAATGGCCGAAGTTCCTCAGCTGTATGGGCAAAGAAGCAAACTCTTCTTGAACAACTGGTCCCATCCTTGCAGAGGCGGGTTCGATATTGAGCTGGATGCAGCCAGCACTCAAAAACACCATGGGCATATTCACACATGTCTCCTCGACGGCAAGCTCCTTTTCGGAAATCAGGACAAGGGACACAGCTATAATGAAACTTCCTCGGGTCCCTTCTCCGAGCATTTTCCCCTGGGTGGACGAAAGGGCATTCAGTCCAATCATGTGAATATGCACGCGAACATGGTCGAACCTTGAAAGAATACATCCTGAACTCGTCAGTCGAGTAGATGCTGTTTTTGATGTCAGGAAGAGATGGATCAACAGGATATTCTTTCTTCTCTGATCCAGATAAACCAGCCGTGTCCCTTAACTTCAGCTTCAGATGGAACTCTAGTGTAGAAGGAGACCCATTCTCTGGAGAAGTTGATGGAGGGGGAGAGTTTGAATTAGATGTAGCTGTTACCACCCTAAGACCACAGCCTGCCATGGAACAATCTGTTTGAAGAAGTTCTTCAAGAATACTCTTCACATGGGCAAGCTTGGGAGGCACCACAATGACATCAACAGGATAGTGACCATTGGCATCGACAGAATTCGGATCGGCACCGGCTGCCAGAAGCAGTTTCACCACATCAACAGCATTTACAGCCCCACCTGATGCAGCGCAATGAAGGGCCGTGCTTTTGTCAAGCCCACATGATCGATTAATATCTGCATCAGATGATGAAAGAATCAACTTGATGACATCGATACTGCCATAAGTAGCAGCAACCATCAATGGCGTCCGGTGCTCGTTGACCATCTGCTTTGATCCCTTCTGACGACCATACCACAGTCCAACCTCATCTACAGAGGAAGGATCACGTTCAATTGATCTTTTGAAATGCTCAACGTCATTATTGGCTGCAAGGTCAAGCAGGCTTGCAAAACTATCTTCAGTTTCCACAGTCAAGCGATTCATCTTTCCGTTTCGAGGTAGAGTAGTACCAGACAAAATTAAAGATATTGCTGGAGAAGGTGGTAGCTTTAACAGCTCCAAATCACAGCACATGCTTTCATTTGCAGGAGATTGAGCTGTGCCAAAAATTGTTTAAAAAAACAATCAAACTAAGCCGACGAAGCTAAGTCCCATTTTATGAATCAAGAAGCAAGAAAATTAAGCATTCGAATGCATGAACACCCATATCCCATACAGTTGTAGCATATTTCGATATTTGGCTCCAACTATCAATGGGATTTATCAGGAACTAAGACCATCAAATTCGACAATTACAATAAAGACAACGACGAAAAGGCACGAAGTTCCTTTTCAGAACTTCTCTTCATTTTTAGTCGATGACGCTAAGGACTAGTTGCTGCCTAGCAGAGAAAGCAAATAAACTAGCAAATTTTGAAGACAATTGATCCGCTTAGATATTTAATCATCCTCCCTTCATGAAATACTCTACTTTAGAACATCCAGCAGAGCATAAACTCCAACACTAAAATAGCCAACAGAAATTAGAAAGAAGAAAGAATCATGTCCGTCCATAGAAAACGAAACAAACAGATCATTCATCAGCCCAATGAGTCGGAAAGCAAACAGTTGCAGGCAGAGAGAGCATACTAAATTATCCATGAAAAATTTCAAATTTTCAGAACTCCAACAACGGAAGGGTATCGTTTCGAGACTAATTTCCTTGACTCGCTTTTTTTCCCATTTCACATGGCACTGAGTCAGAGAGAAATAAAATACAAATACAAATACAAAATAAATATTAAAAGCAGTTTAGGATCGTGAAAGAAGACAGAGTCAGAAAAAGAAAAAAAAAAACAGACGAGGAAATACAGCGATTGAGCATATCAGGAATACAACGATCTCGGGTACTGATAAGAAGCAAGACTAATTCAAGATCAATTTAAAAATGAACTTTCCGTATATCCGTTGCCCTCATTTTTGGACACCATATATATCCTAATACAAAAAAATGGCGAGCCCCAGAAGAAGAAGCAAAAAGACGTTAATTTTTCATATTACAGCAACTAAAATCATCGTCCCAAAAAGAAAAGGCAGAAATAAAATCTGAAAAAATGAATACTTTCATAGTCACCAGATTCAGAAAGCTCTAAATCAAATGAAGATGTTATCAATTCCCCAGTACAAGTCAAAATAAAAGGAGACAGTATTCTTCACAATCGAACATCATTATATATAAAACACAGTTAAAAATGAAAATCGAAAGTGATCTACAGGGGAAGAAAGTATGATCGAAATAAATCTTACCGGCCATTCACTGAGAGAGAAAGCAAGAGCAAATCCATTGGTCGTTGGATCTCGACAGCAACAGAAGCGGCTGAACAGAGCTTCAAACTAACGATGTTTGGGTTCTGTGTGAGAAAAAAATAGAGAGATAAGATCGTGAGAAAAGAGGAGCAAGCAAGAGAGCTTCTGCTTTCAGCATTTCCTATGCTCTTCTTTTCCAGGAGAAAGAAGGAAAGGGGAAAAAATTAATAGAAATTATAATTATATATTTGGATTACCATTAATATTAAATTTTAAATTTTAATTAGACTTTTTTGAATTTTGATGAAATGAAATCGCCAATCCAATAAAACGGGGAAATAAAGGAAAAACAAAATGAAAAGGCGAGAGCACTGAGAAGGTCGCTTGTCTCGGGCCTTTCGTATTCGCTGATCACATCACGCCTCATCTCTCCACATAGGACTCGATCAGCATTCCAGAAAAATCCAGGGACAAAAAAGGCACTTTAGTGGCGGATCCGTTTCCTCTTCTGTGTGACGTGGTTACTCTCGATCGCCAGGCTACGACAAAACGCCCCTCAACTCCTGGGTGAAATTCTCTGGAAATTCAACCCAAATTCACCTCACATGCAAGGTAAATTCTTACAACCCAAGGATCTAGTGCTCCTGATTTCCGGAGACAATCCTCAATCACATGACGTGGCACGATATTACTGGCCTCCTTAAATAACATGGAGTAAATTAGAAGAAATCCTTGACTTGGCGTTCCGGCCCCCTCATTCGATCACTTCAGCTAATAATGTGGCGCCACGTAAGCAGGATGCGGCGGAGCTGTAACCAGCGCATAAATTCATCGCAATGAGAGGAAGAAGGGGTACCGGCTGGGAAGGTGGAAAGAGAGGGAGAAGGTGAGTGGGTAGGTAAGAAAGAAGAGGAAGGGAGACCGGAAGAGGCGGTGAAATAAATTGGGTTGGAAGGAGGGTTGGAGTCCGCCAATGAGAGAGGATCGGACCTCTGGTCGATAGTAGTACGGGTGGGTCGCGGATTCCAGGGATCAGTCCATTGCGGTTAAAGGAGGGGGTCAAATCAGCGCATGGCCAAAAAAAAAAAAAAAGTGCCATTAGCATTAGAGGGGGACTTATTTTTCATTCATCAAATCAATTCCGCCGATATGAAAAAGATAAAGCTGCCACCCCTCATTCAAATTCTTTCCTCAATTATGCATCTCATTTTTTCCAGCCTCCTTTCGTCACATTCCTCATAACTGCAAATACCCAGACAAATTTATTCCTTCCAATTTCTTTCTGCTCACTTGTTTACTTTTTGTTTTTCTTTTTCTTTCTCGCTCATGAATTGGAAAAATTAATATTTTATTTGAGTCATATTTTTTATTTTTTCATATCTCATTTTAAAATTTTAACCACATTCGTCATATCATATTTGCGATTTTCTGTGTAATTAGGCATGCAAGGTTTTTAAACTCATAAATTTAAATAAATTTATGATAAAAATATAAACTCATATTATAAATTTATAAGAATTTACCTTTATTAATAAATAGTTAGTAAAATATGATTGTATTTTAATTAAATATATTAAAAGTATAAATGATTAAAATTAAACTCATCTACATTGATAAATTATCATATGCAAGACATATTTTTGATATTTTTTATTAATGTTAGTTTTTGCATTTTAAATTTTTTTTCCTTAAACTAGGTCTTATAATTTTTATAAATTAAATTTTTCATGGTATATATTTAACTCGCTCAACTCAAAAAAAAATTGATGAGTTGAATAAATTTAATTAAGCTTACATCTAGTCAAAATTTATAAGTGAGTTAATATGATTTTGTAAGTTAAAAATGTAAAAATGATAAATTTAAAGGTGAACTCATGAGTTTAATTGAGTTTGTACCTAGTTTAAATTTATGAATGAGTGGATATAATTTTGTAAGTTGAAGATATAAAAATATTAAACTTGTAAAGTAATTCGAGAGTTTGATAATCATGAATATATATGTCTTATATTTGTGAAGGAGGGAGGAAAAAAAAAAAAAAACTTGTGCGCCCTCGTTGAAGGCCAAAACATGGTGAGTATCCTGTTTGTCCCTATATTAAGCTCTAGTAAATACAAATTGTCAAATTGATTACAGTCCCATGATTCTCTGATGGGGAGATAGATAAATTTAATAATTGAAGAACCTTTTCTGACTCACCTCAATTTTATTTAATTATTTTCATTGAATAATAATAAGCATTGATCTCCAAATTTGTTTGAACCTTATCTCGATAATTTTTAAAACGTAACATAATCAAATATTCGTCAAGAAAAATGAAAAAAAAATAGCACTAAAGTGGCAATCACCACACTTTGTTGGACAAAAATTAACCATGATCAACGCTATTTCAGATGACCAAGTTGACAAGCATAGAAAACATGAGCTATCACGCCTTGGCATATATGGCATGTAGTGGGTGCAGCTCCTAATTGCTAAGCAATAACACTGACATGGATACCGTTGAGTTGGAAGCTCGTCCGCGGATTAAAATATTTTCCATCCATTAAGATCTTAGTGTTCCAGACCCAGTTAATTAAATGTTGACAAAATTGCGATGCACAGCAGAATTGTACTAAAATTAACATATTTGATCGACTTTATACTAATACGATTTATATCCGATAAAAAATAGTAGTTTGGACCGGGTCGCGGAGATGAACTGCCTCCTGGTAAACAATTTAAAATGATATGATCTGCGCTCTTTGACTTTGGTAAATTCTTAAATCCCACCTGCAAAACTTTTCTGCATGCAGTAAGGCTTAAGAGGAAAGGGATAGAAATTAGGAAAAATTATTGCATAAATCCTTCCAATTCATATCTCATATAGTAAGTCATGTCAATTCAATCAAATAAAATTTCTTATATTATTATTTTTAATAATTTTAATTTTATAATAAAAATATTTATTTAATTTGTTATTCTTTTGATATAAACTATCAACAATGATGAATTAATTTACATTTAATGTTATTTAAATATCATATTTTTATTAAATAAAATATATTTATTTTATTTAAAAATGTAAGATATTTTTAAAAAAATTAAATATTTAAAAATATAAATTATTTTTAATTTTTAAAGTGTAATTATTTTTTTTAAGTGTTTATATTAAGTAAACTATTTTATATTTATTTTAAATGAAGTATCTTATTAAATATAAGTAAATATAAAAATATAAAATTAATTTAAAAATAAATAATTATTTTTTAAAATATAAAATTTAGTTAAAAATATTTTATATTTTTAAAGAAATTGGGCAAGTAAAATAATAAATCAGGGTCATACAATAATTTTTTTATAAATTAATTATGACGAATGCGGGAGAAAAGGGTGGGTTGAATTGAAAGAAAAGGGGCGTTAAAACCGAAAGAGAGGGCCCACTCAGTCGCCTGCGTTGACTGAAGAAAATACAAAAATGTGAGACTGAAGCAGAGAGCATCAGGGCGCTGATGGGGTGGCACCGGCAGAGCCATGAACAAAGAAGCTTGAGGATAAGCCTATTCTAGCCACCTGATCTTCACATGCCTAGACCCCACCTTCCCACGTGTCCACATCGCCTCTTCTCTGTATCTTTTCGATTACTTGTGCTTCTCTACATAATCTCTATACTGTGAAATACTACGTCAGTGAAATAAAAAGAAAAAAATGTATTTTTTGAATTATTCCAAGCACTTGACAGCACCTACCCATTTTGCTACTGGCAAAACATGCACCAATAGATAAATTTAAATAATTAAACGATCCTTTCCAACACGTTTAAAACTGGTTATTTATAATGTTATGTAGGCATGTATCTGAATTTCTAGTGGGTTATAGTTTACGAGAGATATATAGCGTGTCATTGGTGATCGTGTTTAACCTTCTGAAGAAGGGTCCTTTTGCATGAAATTCGATATAATTTTGTGAGAAATATGCTTTGATAGTTTTTGAAGAATAAGCTCTTAAGATTTTATTCAAGATAATGTGCTATGGATTTGTGTATGCGCTAAGGGCTGACCGAGCCGTATTACATGTATATCAGGGATGGTTTGGTTGGTGGGAAGAAAGTGAAATAATGAAATTAAATGAAATGAATAAATAAAAATAAAAATAAATTTGATTAAAATATAGATGGGAGATGTAGCTTGGCTATATTCATGAGAGGGGAGGCAACTTGATTTATGATGTTGAGTTATAACTCACGAGATTATGAAATTTGTGGAAGATGTTTTGTGATACAATAGTATTAGGGGAATGAAGTAATTTAATATATTTTTATTTATTTTATACAATTTATTACCGTCACTCCTAACAACTAAACAGCCTATTAATATTATCATCTTGCGCGTGAAGTGACAGCGTGTTACATGTTATGCACGAAAAAGATTCCCCCTCCAAATTATAAAATAATTTAAAATTAAATTTGAATGAAACACAATAATAATACTCTTTACATCTGAAATTATTAAACATTTTAAAAAAAATTCAACATCTTCAAATATAAGATATTATGATAAAAGTGAAGTTTTATTAATAATATTTTTTTAATATTAATCTTTTTATATATTTTTTTAATATTTTTTATTAATGGAGTATTAAATAAAGTGCATTTTTAAAAATTTATATTTTTATCATGAAAAAATAAAGTTGTAAAGTATATTTAATAAATTTTATTGATATATAAAATTTTATTTAAAAGTATCTTATAATTTGAGATAGAGAGAGTATTATTTTATAAATTAATTTTTAAAAAAATAAAACTATAAATTTTTAAAAATGTTTCATTTAATTATTACACTTGAAACTTAATATTGAAACACCATCGTCAATGATTTTTTTAAAATTATTTTATATTTTAAAACAATAAAATTTTTTTAAAGTTATCTTATAATTTAAAATGGGGAGAATATTTATCAGAGATAGAATGGCGATCCCCACACACACAAAAAGTAAAATAATTATAATAAAAGACCAAAACATTAAAAGAAATATCTTAAATGGTCACAATTTCAAGCTTAATTCACTTATATACCGTGGTCCAAGTGTTTTTTTTTTTTTGGGTAATATTTTACGTTAAATTTTAGAAATTTGGTTAGTAAAGTTGATTGTAAATTTCGAAAGATAGGTGTCAGATGTCTACAAATTAATAAACGACTTGACGGATTCTTTTTCTAAAAGCTTAATTTGAAATTTATTTTTTTAGGTGCTATTTAAATTTAAATATAGCAGAAAGACATGATAACTGTACAAGACTGAATAACATGTAATAATGCATCTGAAATTCGTCATGTTTACCTGCTGATCCACTTTTTTTCAGCCGTCCTTTAAATTGACAATCTCAAACGTTTCCTCGACCTGAAATGACCCACACTCAATTCTTCACTTAAATTGATGGCTCCAATTAACCACATTCACCCCAGGTCGGCAAGTCCCAGCACTATCAACTGAAGCATCAAATTCAAAATCATGATACCATTATTGTTTACGAAAAAGTGCTTGGTACGAAAACAAATTAAACAAAACATCTTTATAGTGCTTGAGGTGTAAATAAATAAGTTTTAAATTAGCGTATTTATCATGTCCACATAAAATATCACAAATATAAAAGATATAGTTAAAAAATCTAACCAAATAATAGTTAACGAATGGAACATGTATCTAATGCACCGGAGATAACATCGTATGATTACATGCCCCTCCACTTGG